CCCCATCATTACACTGTTTGGATGTTTGCCAAAAGGAATTCTGTAGTTGGCTAGAGGTCCCTTTTGTCAGATAAACAGCCTTTGCCTATTGTACTATGTCTCCTTCTCTTCTCTCCCTCAGTCTAGGATATCATACTTTTGTTATTTTGGAGAGATCTGTGAGTTTCAGACTCTAAAAAAAGTCCTACAAGCTGCTTACAGGGTGAAGGAAATTCTGAAATCCTCCGTAAGAGCTAGATTTGGCAGGAACATTTTACCTTATTGATCCTGCAGCTAAATGACGAGTTTCAGAGGTTAAACCAAACCCTACTCTTAAGAATTGAAAGGCGCCCAATCATGATCAACCTTGAAATTTACAATCAACTAAATTTCAAGGTTGATAGTGATTGGTCGCCTTTCAATTCTTAAGAGTAGGGTTTGGAGGAATGATCTTTAGGCTCTGAGGAAAGAGGTTTAGCCTCTGAAACGTGTCAACCGGAGGAACATCAGTGTCTAGATGGCCCTGGCTTGAACACTTACTCTTCCGTATTCTGCACTTCATTCTTTCGTTTGTCCATCTTGATCCACTTGAGATCATTTTATTCAATGATCATTTTTTACAAGTTGTTTGTAAGTACATTTCCAGCTGTATTTTACCTTTTTATTATATCTGTTTTACACTATGGAGGCACTCCTTTTTGCTCTGTTCTTTTAGATAACTGGTTTACCCTGACTGTGAGGAGCTGCCCCTGTGTGTTTTTTGAAGCTGGGTTTCACGTTTTTTTTTTCTTTAGGCCTCAGTGATTTTCTCATCTATCTTACCAAAAGTGTTCCAAGGAAGGAAGACTGGTGAACTAGCAACAGGGTCATGGGTGGCCAAGGCTCATTGATACACGTGGGGAGCGAAGGCTGACCTGTGTAATCCAATAGAAGAGCTACTGTAGCTCAAGTTGCTAAAAAGGTTAATGCTAGTTCTGATAGGTATCTGTACAGTGTAGGGATGCACCGATACTAGTATCGGTGCCGATACCAAGTATTTGGGTGAGTATTCGTACTCGCCCAAATGCTCCGATACCTAGCACGAGTACTTCCTGTATCAGGAAGCCGGGCAGCGCATCATTACACGCTGCCCGGTTTCCTGATTGGCCAGGAAACGGCTCTAGGAAGCTAGCAAATCCGGAAGCCGGGCGCCGTGTAATGACGCAGCTCCCGGCATTCAGATTGGCCGGGAAGCCGGCGTCATGCTCCCTCGTCATCTCACGAATCATAATATTAAGAAAGTGACCTTAAAGCATTAGTTTGTATTGCTTTAGAAAAAGTGTGACCTGTCCCTTTAAAAAAAAAGTATCGGTAATTGGTATCTGCAAGTACTTGATCGAAAGTATCGGTACTCGTACTCTGTCTTAAAAAAATGGTATCGGTGCATCCCTAGTACAGTGCATGGCAGTTTGTTGTATATGGGGCTGCAGACCGGTCAGGGTGCCCATGCTGACTTGTGTCCACCACCAAAAGCGCCTACCATGGCTTACATTGATTTTTTCCAGGCCTAGTTGGCTACTATAGCAAACTCCCATCCCTGATTACAGATAAAAATATATACCCTATATTTTACAATATTAAAGGCCTAATACAAGCATGAGGACAACTCCCACTTCCTGTGGCAGGCAGAGTCAATGTAATTCAATTACCAATGCTCCCTAAATAACGATATGTTTACCATACGAGTGTCTCTTTACAGATTTTTGACTCTATTGACACCATTTATATAGGCTAATTGTGGCCAAACCCGGCAACACTCTAGAGACTTAAAGAGGGAGCCAGTATTATTGTTGTGGTTGTATAGCTGCATCACCTAGCTTCTTGGCTTGGTCCTTGGGAATTCCCAAATCTAATCTGGCTTAGGAAGCTGTCTTTTCTTTGACACTATTGGAAGCAATCCCAAATTCTCAACTGTACAGGATCAGTTATAACCATGGGTTATGCTGCCAAATTGGACAGTGACAAAAAAAGCTGTAAGGATAGACCTAATAACGCCTCCCACTCCCAGCCTGCCTCATTTTTTTTTTTTGCTAGTATCCTTAGGTGAAGGTTGGCTTTCATACACTGAGATGAGCTTTCCACCATTTTTTTTTTTTTTTCCTTTTCTCAAGATTCTTCTCACAAGTTCTAGCTGCTCCTTAGCAAATGTGGTTACCTTTTTTCAGCCTTCCAGATGAGTTTAACTCCTTGGCTGAGCCTTCGGGACCGTACCTGGACCCTGCCTGTACTGACCTTTCTGAAACTGGATACTGCATTAGGTGCTTACCATGGCATGTTGGGTTAGCCATGGGGCACTATACAAGTACAGGGTCATGGCCCATCAGCCGGTGGAGCCCTGTCCCTGAAGATATTTTCAGAGGTATGCACACCGAGAGGGAAAAGCCAGGATGGGCTTTAATCTTCACATCCTGAGAACTACTACGAAGCGAATCTCTACCTCAGTGAGCTGAAACCTATTGCCCTTCTCTGGCCTGTGTTGATGATCCAGTTCCTCCTGGGGTTAATGGCGGGGCGCTGCCTGTGACGCACTTAAATGAAGTGGCACAGCCACATTTGCTGGAGCGCCAGTTGTTTTTAAATTTGAAGCTCGGTCTGCTGCAAAGGGCCGCCTTTAGTCTACTTCTATTACCATTAGTTTGATTGGGTCAGTTATCCAGCAGACGGTGTTGTGGGAATTTACCATGTGCCCTGATAGGGTCTCCATGCTTCTGATGTGCTGCTTCCCCATCTTTGGACTTGAAAATGTTATCAAAAAGGCTCTGCATAAGATTCAGGGTCTTGATAGTTCAGATGACAAAATATTCCCATTTGCCCAGCTCCATATCAGGCCTCGGAGTGTACCCTCATGAAGAAATAGCAGAAATCTGGCTTTTTCTAGAATTCCCAGAGTAGATATTCTTTTTCATAATGGCTTATACTCTTCCCCAGATACCAGACTGCTGGGCTGAGTGGAATGTGCAGAACAGAAAAAATGTTTTTACATTTATAATATCGGAATAGAACTTCTTGGAGTAAGCCACAGGTTTTCCCCTTTTTGTTCTTTTCAAGGTGACAAATCTTAGCCGCCTTGGAAACCATAATGAGATCAGACTTGCTCTTCCTTTCTTTTCTTTGTTGAGAAGGATTAGCTTTCTATTCCCTTGCTCTTATTGTCTCCTAAGACAGCTTATATTTCTTACCCTGGACAAGTATCTCATTAATATATATAACCTGAAGTTTGAAGTGGACTACACAACATCGCTCCTATGTTACAGAGGGGACATGATCTGTGATCCTGACAAACGTCCTGTCCTAGAGTGACAATGCTGAGTGAGCGTCATCACCCCAGGATAGGAAACGTGTTTCTGGCAGAATCACTAGGTAAAAATAAAGGCTGTAAAAACGAATGCAGCCACCACACCTAAGGGACCGGTACGCTGCAACATGTCACATTTTTGAGTTTAGATATACTTTATACTTGAAGCATTTGGATAAATTGTCTTGTTATGCATCATGAATTTTCTGGACAAAGTAGTTCATAGCACTCCTACTTCTGTTACTCATATTCTGTTTCCATTAACACCATTCAACCAGGACCAGGACTATGTGAAGATCTTGTTTATTTCTTCTTTAAACTTAGTGACACTAAACTCAGGAGTTAAATCTTAAAAATGCATTCAAGCACCCGAACTATTACACAAATAAGATGCATTCTTGTTATCACTCGGCCCTGTATCCTCCAATCATCTCTGAATTGGTGCTGACACTCTCCTTCCTTCTGGAGGGTGGCTACTTTTGTTCCCCATGGTTCCCATTGGAAAGAAACCACCGCTCCAAGCTCAATCCTGTGATGGACTACAATCTCATGTTTAATTTACTAATTTGTAATAAAATTGTAGTCCATCGCAGGAGTGAGCTTGGAGCGGTGTCTACTTTACAACACACACAGGGATTGTGGGGAACAAAAGTAGCCCCCCTCCAGAAGGAAGGACAGTCGGAGATGACTTGAGTAGGGCTGCAA